GCTGACCAGGTGGGCTGCTCCTACACCACTCTGCCCCTTGATCTATTACAGTAGTTATTGTAGGGCACAGGTGATTTGTTGCAAACAAACCAAACCGTTATAACCAGGTGACTAACTAAAACCATTACAATTAACTAAACACCAGATATAACAAACAAATGCAAACAATCATAATTGGGAGTACAATAAAACCATCACTATTACAATAATTGGGTACATTGACAAACAAAATGAGGCCCAAGTTTGATGCCGCAATAGCCATCAAATAATAAGTCACTGAGGTCAGGACCTCCTTAAGCACACACAACAAAAAAGATTTTGTAGGAGTACCACAGTTGTCATGCAAGGTTAAGTTGATGTGTACTTTAACATTCAGTTGCTAAAATGTTGCAGAATCCCCTATTCTTAACAGTTGTTCTCAAGAGGTCTCTGGGGACCTGAAAGATGGGGCCCTACAATCACAGGCCAAGGTCTTACAGGTTATGGGGGCCCATGAACTACCCTTCAGGGCTTGGGGAAGTAGAACCAGAGTGCATAGAGGAAAGTGTGGAACAATACAAAAGTATCAGTAACAAAACCAACAAAAATTATTAGAGAACCTAACAAAAAATAAACCTGATGCATTGGGGACCAAAGTCTTTTGGATAGAGGTGAATGTGATTGATAATTTGGTTGGAGATGGGGGAAAACAGAGGAAAACATTTACCCTGTTTAGTGTAGTATTTTCCTGTTTATCTGGACCCAATGTTAGCACAGGACACCCACCAGAGACAGACACGGAACATGCAACACAGACTTTGTCACGACACTATAACCATGGTATTTTATAACTCTTCAGCTGGTACCAGCTCTCCTGATGTTCTGGTTCAGAGCCTGAAAGATAGACGCTTAGAAACAAATTAGCACAGTGCTCCCACCATGGCTGACCCTGCTCAGTCTCTGCCACAGTATCCAGTATTTGGGGCTGCACAAATGTTTATTAAAGGGTGCATTTCTTGTGGGTTTAAATTATTCCTTTTTCCCCAGTAAAAGGAACTTAACACTTCAGCTAGAAAAAAAATTGTTTTAAAATCCCCAGCCACTTTGCCATGGCCTGGAGGTCTGAGGCAGAAGCAGGCACTGTTGCAATGGCATTTTGGCTCTGGGAGAAGGAATTTACCCAAATATCCCCTTCCCAATCTCCAGAGGGGTCCCAAAAGTCTGCCTGTTCTGGGGTCTCAAGTGTCCCTTCTCCTGATGTTACTGCTGCAGTTTGTCTATTTGCAAATATTTCTTTCCATTTCCCCCCCCCCCTTTTTTTTTTCTTTTGTATGCTGCTGTAAGATTTGAGAGTTCTGTTTTAACTCTGTACGCCACATCCTTAAGAGCATCTAACTGGGTTTGGGTACTAATGGACATACATTTTCATTTTTCTGCTTTTGCAGCAGAGGCTTGTAGATCTTGGTGCAGTTTTTTGTTTTCATTTTTACATTTAGCCAATTGAAGGAATACCTCATTACAGGGTTTTCCATAGAAGCCAAACTGCAGCTACTTTTTTTTCCATTGGAGTTGAGGGTTTAGATATTAGCTTACACTTGATCAGACCAAGGGCTGTGTCAGAATTTTTGCAAGACGTGTTTAAAAGGTGTGGGTTCTTGTACAAGAGGCAATATTTCCTATCTTTAGACAGTGTTTTCTTAAAGATTTTCTTCAACAATTGTGAGCAACCACCAACCACAACACAAAACCAAATTGATAAATATCAATCACTAGAACCCCTAATTCCCAAAAGAGCAACTTATAACTCCTGAGAGAGCTATTTCCCTTTTTAACTCCTGGAAGAGCAATTTATAATATCCAAACCTAAACTCCTATTTCCTTCAGAGTTTGTGGTTAATTAATTGAAAGTTTACAATCTTTTGCCTGTAGTGCCAGGCTTACTAAAGCTGGCACTTTATTAATAAAGTGAACAATTAAAAACAATTTCATTCATCAGTTCTACACCCCAACCCCCTGCTGCACCCCCTTCACCCCAACCCCCTGGCCTGAGCCCCCCTGCCACACCCCAACCCCCTGGCCTGAGCCCCATCCTGCACCCCTCCATGCACCACTGCCCTGAGCCCCCTTCTGCACTGTGCACCCCACCCCCTTCCCTGAAACCCCTTGTACACCCCACACCCCCATCCCAATCCCTTGCCCTGAGCCCCTTCCTGCACACTGCACCCCTTCCCACACCCCAACCCCCTGCCCCAGCCCTACATTCATAGTCCTGCAAGCAATTTCCCCACCCATGTGTCACCCTCAGGCCAAAAAGTTTGCCCACACCTGCCTTAGAATCATGAACTATCATTTCATGATCACTTTCACCCAAGCTGCCTTTCACTTGGAAATTCTCAGCTGGCTCCTCCCTATTAGACAAAATCAAATCACTTTCTGCAATAAAAAGTTAGCTCCAATGCATTCCAAGAACTTGTTGCATAATCTGTGCCCTGCTGTTTCATTTTCCCAGCAGGTGTCTGGGTAGTTGAAGTCCCCCATCACCACCAACTGCTGTGCTTTGGAGGATTATTAGTTTCTTTTAAAAAGGCCTCATGCACCTATTCTTCCTGGTTAGGTGGTCTAGAATAGACCCCAGCCATGACATCGCCCTTGTTTTTTACCCCTTTTATCCTTACTCAGAGACAGGTCTGCCTCCCACTTCTATCTCAACCTCAGGCAAATGTAGATATCTTTGATCTACAAGGCAACACCACCTCCCTTTTCCCCCTGCCTGTCATTTCTTAACAAGCTGTACTCTTCTATACCAATATTCCAGTCATGAATTTTCCACCCTAGTTCATGACACCTATTCTGTCATAATTGTGATAATTCGTTAGCATTTCTAGCTCTTCCAGTTTATTCTCCATACTTTCCTTATCATACAGACAGCTAAGAGGTTCATTTGATTTCCTCTCTATAGTCCCTCTTGTCCTTTGTCCCTGCTGTGATTGCCCATGTTCTTCCCCAATTCTGGGCCTTCACCCCAGTCTCCATGTTTTGGACTTGCCTGGGGGCTTTTGTCTCCTGCCCCCCTCACTAGGTTCATAGATTCATAGATTCTAGGACTGGAAGGGACCTCGAGAGGTCATCGAGTCCAGTCCCCTGCCCGCATGGCAGGACCAAATACTGTCTAGACCATCCCTGATAGACATTTATCAGGTTGCTGGTCTGTATCCAGAGATACTGCTCCCCTTCCTTGTAAGGTGGACCCCATCTCTACTCAGCAGTCCTTCTCAGAACAGCCTTGTAACAGATTGAGCACTCACCAGCATAGCACCTCCTGCTGGTCACCTCAGGAATTGCTCTTTCAGCCCTGGAGCACCTCCTGCTGGCCAGTGTCCCTCCTGCCTCAGGCCCCCCCATTTCCCTCCTGGACCCTGGTGCCCCTTTCCCTTGGGGTGCTGCCCACAGCAGTGCCCCTACTCTCTGGGCCTCCCCTTCCAAGGGAACCCCAATCCCCTATACCCACCTTGCCTCAGTGTCTACTGCCAGTCATCATCTAGTCCCTTCTCACCAGAGGCCAACTGCTGTCTGTGATGGCCACTCATCATTGGCAAGGCTGTTGGACCTGCTGCCTTTCCCTGCAGCCCCAGTTCCTCCCTAGGCCTTCCTGTCAGGCCTCAGCCTGGGAGGTCACCAGGCCTGAGCTCCCCAGCTCAGCCTGCTCCAAGGTACCCTTTGCTCTTTCAGGCAGCTAGGTCCATCTCTCTCCAAAGCTGCAGAAGGACTGACTGCTGGTTAGCCCTGCAGCTCTTTTATAGGGCACAGCCTGGCCCTGATTGGCTGCCTCCCAGCCTTTTCTTATTGATTCTCAGCCCTCCCCAATGGCTGGCTTTTAACCCTTTCTAAACCGGAGCGGGGTGACTGCCCTGCTACAAGCATCCCATGGTGGAGGAAGCTGAAGCCTTCCTGGTGACACTATGACTGTGCAGCCGTGCGTTCACCTCCAGGACATGTCTATCTCTGCCCGGGACCCTAACCTTGACTGGAAGGATTAATGAGAACACCGCCTGCACCTCCAGCTCCTTCACCCTCACTGCCAGAGCCCTGTGTCACTGCTGATCTGCTCGAGGTCATGGCTTCTCCTCCTCCACCACCTTTGGGGGAGATTCCTCAACCCTCGTTACCAGGGCAGCATACTGGTTTTTGATCTCTATGGACAGTGGGTTGGGAGCAGGGGTGGAGCACTGCCAGAACTAGCTAGCAGCCAGCTTCCCCGCTGTTCAGGAGCTGTTTCCTCCTCCCTCGGTGGTGCTATTGCAGTCCTCTGCAGCTGGATTGCTTCCTCTGCCTGGGGGGGTCTCCATGTGCACGTTTTCAGTGAATTCTTCCTGTTTCACCGATGCTCCTCAGCCTCGCCACCTCCTCCAGTAGCTCTCCCACCTGCTTCCTGAGAGATTTTACCAAGGGACACCTCTCACACAGGATGGTCCCCCCTGGCTTTCTATGACTGGGAAATGCAGGCCACAGTCTCTGCAAATCCACACCAGGACCTAGATAGAAGCGTCCTTGGTCAGGTTCTCTGTCTGGACGCAGGTGAGGGGGAAGCGCCAGGAGCAGTGTTGGTATTAGCCACGTGGCCTTTCCAGACCGTGCTGATTTTATTCTTTCTCCCTCCAACAAACTCCCTCCCAAACTCCCCGGTTTGCATGGCACAGACTGCCTGGGTTCTCAGCCTGGGGGCTGCACACAGGTCTGGCAGAGTTACAACCCCCCTCTTTGGGGGGGGATCCCCAGATGTTTCTGTTCTAATGGGCATTCTCCCCCATCTGAAGAAGTCTGAGAGCCCCTGCTCTAGAGACACACATCAGATGAGATGATCCTTCTCTCCAGTGCCCTCCAGTGATGTGGCCTGAAACACCAGATTGAGGTGGGCTTTCCCAGCACCCCTGGCACCAGGGCCCCTTTCCCAGGGATCTCCCCCCACAGCTGGAATTGTCCTGTCTCCTGTTGCCATGGTTTCTCTTCTGCCTCCCCCGCAGTGTTTCATGAACTCGATCCTGCAGTGTCTGAGCAACACGAAGGAGCTCCGGGACTACTGCTTGCAGAACCAGTACGTGCGGGACCTCAACAGCAACAGCCGTATGCACACCGCGCTAATGGCAGGTAAGGGGAGCCAGGTGCCTGCAGGCGGGGCTGGGAGATCCCAGTGCTCCACCTGGCCCGTCCCTTTGGCAGATTGCGGGCTGAGCCGGGGCCCACAGCTTGGCCTTTCAGTGCAGCTCCCCTCCGGCGAGTGACCCTGTCTAAACAGGGCTCCTGGCGTCTTGGCCCTCTGGCTCCGTGTCAAGAGGATTTTCCTGCAAAACTCTCCCTAGGATGCGAGAGTCATTCTGGCTCTTTTCTTCTCACGTCTCCTGCCAGCCCCTGCTCTCGGTGACCCCTTTGCCTCACCATCACTAGTCTACCTGCCCAGACCCATTTGGAGACACTAAGGGGTAAACCCATCAACTAGAAAAAATTGGTTGCTACCACATGTTAGTCACATATCTGGCGGTCATCAGCAGGATGTTTGTAGATGCTGGAAGCGGTGTTGTTTTCCTGTATCACATGATGTTTAAAGGTTCCTAGGCATCCAATGTGGAAAAATCACAAAAACGCCCATAACGCGAAGAAACAGGCTAATTTTGTCCAAAATTGTCAGAAAACTTCTATGCACTCAAAATAGCAGTGTTTTGGAAAGTTTGGGACATATTTAGTCCCAGGTGATATATTTTACACATTTCCCTGTACTTGTTTGCCTGAGGTTAAAGCAAAAGGCTGTAGTCACGTGACAGTATGAGTTTGTTTGTACCATGTAATACGTCAAAATATTTGTCATTATTTGTAGAATGGACTGATTGGGGAAACCGTTTTCTGTGTGCTATTTTTATAAGTTACACAGATAACAATACCTCTAATCCCTCAATATAAAATAAAACACATAGTTTTGATGTTGTCTGCTCAACTGGAGACATACCTCTAAAGCACACAGGTACAACTATAGTTATTGTCTTACTATCACTGAATACAATGACAATCCATGTGAATGCCTTGTAGAACAGTAATGATTCTTAGCAGAAGGGCTGTCTTGTCTGACTGTATTGTGTGAATAACAAAGTGTAGCCATGTGCTCTCAATGTAACCCCTACCGCTAACGAATGGCTAGCTAATGCAGCACCCCTTCGAGCTATATTTACTCACAAACATAGTCTCAATAGTATGCAGATAGTTGAAACATTTCTGCTCCCCCGCCCCGAGAGTCTCTGTTAGATAATCTGCTGCTACACTCGTCCCTGTCACAGCTGCATGCATGGGAACACAGCAAATCTTCTCTGCGGCAGTCGCATCTCCTCCTTCCACAGGAGCTCTCCCAGCTACACTACACCAAGGGAAGGGTGGCTTCTGGAGCAGGCAGCAGCGTCACCATGGTAGGGATGAGCTGTCCCGTGCTGTCTGTCACCCATCCAGGGGTAACAGGGGACACTTGAATATACTGAACTTGTTTCATGATTCCATGTGAGCTGATAATTTGCAAGTTTCAGGTGCTGCCTGAAGGATGCCACTGTTGGTGGTAGTTTCTCACTTGTTTTGTTCTTCTTAGCAAACAACCCATAGCCCACATTACCCAGAGCTGCTTGCTTGTACTACCCTTGATCTCTTGCCTCGCAAGCGTTCCACTTTAACTATATATTAACCTGGGCAAAGGCAACTCTCAAGTCCCTCTATGGTATGGGGGTTAGGGTGCTCGCTTGGATCCTGGGTGATCCTGGTTCAGAGCCCTTCCGTGTTGGTTGTGAAGGGATGAGCGTCTCAATCTCTTACCGCTCAAGCCTTCCTCTTTAACTATATATTAACCGGAGCAAGGTAAGCTCTCAAGTCCCTCTATGGTACGGGGGTTAGGGTGCTCGCTTGGATTGTGAGTGACCCTGGTTCAAGTCCCCACTCTGCGGGGCAGGAGGGCCTCTGGGGTATGAGAGGAGACCCCTCCTAGCTGAGCAAGAGGTCTGTCACAGGGCCTCTTGCTCTTTTAATTAAAGGGGCTTTGCTGCTG